TTGCCGAATAAATAATGAATTGCGATTAAGTTTTATGCCCTTTTATGGTTGCAACACGTCAGAAGACGAGTTCATTTCCGGCCAGTCTGTTTGCGCACACATGGCGGATGTCAACAAAGACAGATGTAAGTGAACAAAGCAAAAAGATGCTTCAACCAAAGGGTTTCCATGAACCACGATCTCCCAGAACTGATGGAGCGCTGTCGTTCCCACACCACAGTCACCTCCGCTGTCGTCGGGCATACGTGCATCGTCATCATCATAGCAATGTTTATAGCGTCGCTGTTTTCTTAGGTTAGTTTTGCTTGTTTTTACGTGGCTTGGTTGAATTGTAATGTAGAATGTGGTCTGTTATTTCTAGTTAACAGACTGCGGCGCTGCTAGTATAACACACCGTTGCCATGGACGCAGTTCAGAGACGGAACAGACTATTTTCTTTAGCAGAAGCAATACTCGTTTTTAAATCAATAAACTCGTTTTTAAGTCAATATTTTGTGTCAAATTATTTATTTATTTGGTTGATTTATATGTAGGCTAATAAGCAGGATAATATATAGCGAGGCGGTTGTTATAGCGAATACAACCAACAACCGCCTCGCATATATTATCCCATTCATATGTCGCAATCAGCTGGCACATAAGCATTATTAGCCTTCAACTTGTGAAATATTGATCATTTTTGGTCCGTTTTGTCTAACAAAACTTTGTTCGCAAAAGTTTGCTTGAATGTTGTTCGATTCAGTGCGAAAATAAATGAGTTTTTTAACCGAATTTCAGATAATTCGATTGACAAGTGGATGGAAACATGGCTACTGTTGTTGTAGGGACATCAACGCTACATTTCCACGCTGCTAAACATGACGCGGAGCAAGCCGTACTGTGATTGGCTGCTTTACTGTCAGTCAGACTAGGTGTAAAGAGACAGGGGAAGATGAGCCGTGAGAGAGCTGTCGCGAACACCCGTAGTGATGTGTCGCGCAGGTTTAGATTAAGCCTCCAGGACCACATTATGAAGACGTTATGGACGAATTTAAGGCATAAGTCCTCGTCATACGCAGAGCTGGTCAGTATGTAAGACTACACCGAACACACACATTAACACATGACATCATAGGGAGACGCATCACTGCAGAGGGCCAATCCCAAAACATCAACACGTAACCTGAAACCTCAGAGCTTTTAAATGACACAAAACACACATGAGGAGTCTCGCTGTGACATCGTCGGCCCGGCGGTGTCAGGTGCACAGAAGCGGGCGTAACACTTAGCAACCGAGGAGGAAATGATGCCTCGACACCTTCATGCTTAATGACAAAAGAGTTATTAGTAGATTTCATTGACATCTATACATTCTCCATAAAATGTTGTGCTACGGATAAATCAGCATTCAGAGTCCATTAACACTTTCAAGACACACAAATCTACATTTATCTTCGGCAGGGGTCAATAAGATATTAAAAAATATATATTTTATGATCACCAATTCAACTGAAGTAAAACAGTAAAATTGTGAAATATTATTGCAATTTAAAATAGCTATTTTGTATGTAAATATCTATTTTAAACTGTATAATTTAAAGCTGAATTTATTTTCACCATCATTACTCCAGACTTCAGTGTCACATGATCCTTCAGAAATCACTCTAATATGATGATCAATAAACATTTCTATATTTTGTTTTCATCTGGATTTTTATTTATTTTTTTGTTAATGTAAAGAAAGTTTAATAGGACAGTATTTATCTTAGAACAGGAATTTGATCAAATATACAGTCTCATTGCTGTTAAGATATATTTATTGCTGGTCAATTTGATGTGAAGACATAGAAAAAAAAGTTCATTTTGACATTCCTATCAGCCACAGTACTCAAAAAAAAAATAGTACTTGTAATCAAATTATATTATGTTTTTAAATGCTAATAATCTGATTACAGTTATGTTTTATGGATTACATGATTACATATTCATAAAATGGCAGTCAATAATTTCCAATAATATTTAGATTGTTAATATTCTCAAATAATTTCTTCATTTCAATTGTACATTTTTATAATTTAATCAATCATTAGCTTTTTATTAACTCACAATCCTCCTGCAGCTTTTGTATTAATCCCAGTTTGGAAAACCCGGGCATAATATGCGTTTCATGTTGTTTATAACAAAGAATGGAAAATATTTTCTTATATATATATATATATATATATATATATATATATATTCTCTTCTTCAAGACTGGAAACCACTCAGGAAAACCTCAGAGAGTTGACCATCTACCATTAGATGAACTGTCTTAAAGTCCCCTGTGCTAAACATACAGCTTTAATGTTGTTTATGTGTCTATGTGGTGTTTTTAATATGCTTTAAGACAAACCATGTGTAAATTCATGAGTCGACAGCATTGCTGAGTATTTTCTGCTTAAAACTGCAGTGAACCAAAGACGGTCTCAAAAACACGGTTTGAAATCGCTGGTGTTTGAAATCTGACGTCACAAAGGACCTTATAACCAATCAGATCAACGTGCGATCGTCAACCAGTGGATCTCTGAGCTGAGTGAGCAAGTGGAGGCGGGGCTCATTTGCATATACATAGAACCACGTATATTAAATGAGGCAAGGGTTTCGATGTTACATTCAAGATATTTTAAGACATGAAGGCAATTTTGATGATCAGAGATGGTGATCAAAGATGAGTTTTAAGGGATGAAATGATCGACTACAGGGGGACTTTAACCTTTAACTGTCCATCAGTGACGAACAATAAGGAAATGCTGTATCTGCATTTCCTTATTGCCCGTCGCTGATGGAGAACTGGAGAGCTTCGGATACAGTTCTGATGCAGTTTAGTAATCTCACATTGAGATCATGTCTGCCTTTAAAACAACTGCTGCTACCCACCAATGACCAGCAGGCTGAAGAAAATGGTCATCCCGCTGGACTGCTCCTCTTCCTGGGCCTTGACCCCCGTCTGCTCCGGCAGGATGGGTTCGTTTTTCGGCGGCTCAGGGGTCGTGGGCTTGGGCACAGCTGTGGTGCTCTGAACAGTGTCATTGCTGGAGCTTTCTGTGTCGTTTGTGGCCCTGGATCACAAAAGCAGTCACAAGTCGCACGGGTAAATTTGTGGCAATAGCCAACAATACATTGTATCAATTTCAAAATAATAGATTTTTCTTTAATACCAAAAATCATTAGGATATTAAGTAAAGGTCATGTTCCATGAAGATATTTTGTAAATTTCCTACCGTAAATATACAAAACTTTTATTTTTGGGAGTGAATGAAGGACAATCACAAACATAAATGGACAACATTAAAGAGGATTTTTCTCAATGTTTCGATTTTTTTGCACCCTCAGATTAGTTGCATGTCGGACAAATATTGTCCTATCCTAACAAATACATCAATGGAAAGCTTATTTATTCAACTTTCAGATGATGTTTACATCTTATTTTTTTTTTTTTTAAATTGACCCATGTGACTGGTTTTGTGGTCCAGGGTCACATTAACCGGTCAGATTAATATATGTACATAATATATGATTACATATTTGACTTTATAATCTCTTTTTTAAATTAAATGCAAACTATCTCCTAAGATTAAATCTCAATGATGAAACTTATTAACCTCATGAAAATATATGTCATATGAGTTGTATGACATCCACATCTATACTGTCAACAATGAAAGTGGATGTTTCTAAACGCTCCTACCAAAACTAAAGACAGAAAAATAACTTATCTTTACAACATGCCATTTACTTTAACTGTAGAACTATAACTTGTACGGGGAAGGTATCGGGTGGTTATACCAAGCTACTTTGATCTATGTGTGTGTTCGAACTTAATGATGATTAACATGTTACTAAATAATATTATTCGTCTCTGTAGTTACGCCACATCACAGCTGTCAATCACTCACTCAAACTGCCTGCAGTTAAAATGCGAGCAAACTGATGATATGTGATAATATGTGAAGATATGAGATACAGTAATACCTTGTCAGCTGTTCTGCGTGTCCATCAGCAATTTTCTGATCATTTGAATCACTGTCAGCTGTATTATTATCGGCAGGTTCTTCACTGTGTGTCTGATCATCTGCCGCAACAAACCGCGCGAGGTTAGCCGTCAATATTATTAATAACACACCGATTACAGCAGCTCGATTACTGACACTCATCGTGCTTATAAACATAAATGGCCATTAGACGTAAAGAAAAAACCGCAAAATTAAACTCATGTCGCCACAATCCATATTTCGCAGAGTAAATATATCGTCATCATTATTTACCCGGAAGCTCTGGGAAATGTAGTTTTAATTTGTAGCTTTCTCGGGGTGTTTTTTAAGCACAAACAATGACATAAAACGTATATCCTGTATTGATATCCAAATATCCATTATAGCGTCCACAAAATAAATGACTCTGTATTGAAAAAAATGTAGGCTAGTCGTTTAAAAAACGGAGCTGATGCAGCGAGCGATGGTTTCTGGGAGTTACAGTTCAGATAAGGTGGGCGTGTCAACAATGCGCATTTCTGTGATGCATCAGTCTGGTATGAGAGGTTTCCACTAGTGTTTACATTTATGATCGACCTACAATGATCGTCATTTTACGTTTGTGTGTAGGTGTAGCCTAAATATATAACTCCAGTCCAGTTTATATCCATTTTAATTAGATATCCAGTTGATATCCAGTTTATTAACATGTTCTGTTTTATTCCATTCCATTTTATCTGGTGTTGTTTTAAGCTTGTTTTATTCTATTTGTGGTGTCGATGTTCATTAATACATATGGATTCATTGCTTTGACTTTTTGTTTAGCTCATAGCCTACTATAGCCTTAGCTAAAAAAAATATACTTGCCTCTTGGCGATCAATACGCGCATGTACGCTACTCCCTGTGTGTTTTACAGCCTTGGATGGAAACCAGACCATGAGTGCATGTATTACGTAATCGCGTAAAGTCAAGCTCACACACTCCCTCCTTCGCTGACGGTCCCTTTCAGTCCTGATATCTGTGCGTAACGCGAGTCCCATGCGCTCCCCATTCATTAGCAGCGCGCGGGTGTGAGCGAGTGTGTGTGTGTGAGTGTGTGAGTGAGCTCCCGCGCGCGCTGTCCTTACTGATTTCTACACATGGAGATGATGATACTCTGCTAAAACGAGTGATCCTTCTAGATTGGATACCTTTCGAGATCGCACCTGAATCAGCGTGTTTGCGCTAGGACTCTCCATCTGGGTCTATTAACGGATCATATCTGCCTAAAGCCCACATATTTAGATATAGAAGAAGATCTGTCTATATAATGCCGACACATATTCGACTTCGGAGAAGGTCATTTCTCGGGCTCATATTTCTCTTCTCGCTGTCCACTTCTGCACTGTACTTCATCTATTCAGCTCCTGGTATAGGTGAGGCAACATCTGTTTTCTTTTAATAGCTAACACCCGAATACGTGTGAAATCTGCAGTGTGATTGTTATTTAGGCTGGTCTGTGTTTTTGAATTCTCCATTGATGATGATCATACGATAAATAGCCTAATTGTGTTCGTGTTTTAAGTAATAAATCCGCGATCGGTGTTTGGAAAGCGCATTCTGCCAAGCATCATGTATGAATTTAGAGAACATAACACACTGAGTGAATTTCGCGTTTATCTTTTCAGACCGTTCAACTTTGTTTATAGACTGTATTCCAGTGAAATCATGAATTGTGCTATATATAAAATAGCCCATTTATCAGTGCTTTCCGGGTGCGTTGGATCAGACGCGTACGGTTTTGGGTAAACCCCCGCCCACAAGACGCTCCTTCCCGACAGCGAGAGACGACAGTCCTGTGACCGCATGATTCATACATGAATATTCAATCAGGACACAATGACGTCGTTTTGTTAACGCCTATCAGAGGAAAAACTCGCATGTCTGTTCGCGAATAACTTTTAATTAGCTTTATTGAAACCATCTTAAATAATGCAGTATCAAACATTTAACAACAGGCTATCACAGACGTTAACGCCATGCTGAAAAGCTTATTTAATATACAAATGGATAATTACAGATGACATAAAATAAAAAACCGTATAGTCAAGTCACCTTTAGTTATATAGCGCTTTTTCAATACAGATTGTTTCAAAGCAGCTTAACGGAGATAATAGGAAAATAATGCAACAGAGTTTAATAGCGTCCTAGTCCAGCTTAAATCACTGTGATGGTTCATTTTTGTTGTAAAAAAAGTAATTAATTACATTTTTTAAAGCCATATGACGTAATATATTAATGTAAAGATGTGTATTAGGTAAAAAAAAAAATTAAATTAGAGTGTAAAACGAGTTGGACTGAACATAGAGACCAAATCGGAGCCACTGCAAAGCTGTTTTGTGAATATCCTCTTGAGTTAATACGTTTTTGGAAAAGAATAAATATGTTATGCATATGATATGTCTCTGTTAAGAAATAGGTAAAACAATGGGATGTTTGTTATTCGCCAATACATTTTTAGGTTTCAGGATTTTTTTAACAAAACTTTGTATAAAGATGATCAATTATATGTTATGAAAGATAAAACGAAATAAATGTACATACCACTTTACTTTATGCAATAGAGCCATTCAATATGAAGGATCTATTCACTGTATCTAATTTGCATATCAATGTATTCTTGGAGAAATATGTAATGAAAAAAGAGGTGTAATAATGGGAGGAATGATTGGCAATATTTTCCTAATGTAACCTAAGATTTAGGAATATTGATAACACTGCTTTATCAATGCCTGTAGACATGCTGTGTGGTGTCTATGGACATGGATTCTCTAAAGTCATATTTTGATTAAAAACAGCATGAGATGTTGATTTATGAGAAATAATTTGAAAATTAATCAGATTTTATTGACAATTAGAAAATAGTATCATATAAGAATGCTACATTTTTCACTAAATAATGTCATATTTAAATAAAAAGGAGACCGAGTTTTCATGGTGAAACCTCCACACATTTGGTGTCTCTGGAAAGCCCCGAATGTGCTCTTTACAGGACACAAACTGTAACATGCGTGCTGTCGGAGAAACTCACTAAAATATGATGTCCGCTGCACAGGGCAAGGGTCTTCCCCTTCAGTCCGGTGTGTTCAAGTGTGTTACTGTGTGCCGGTCTGTGAATGCTTTTACCATCAGTGTTTCCCAATTAACTATTAAGAAAGTCTGCCTGGGGGGGGGGGGGGGGGGGTTTCCGCTTGTAATAGGTGTTTATAAGAGGAACAAGGAACAGAAATTCTAGTTTGTTAATAATGAATGAAACTTGGCTTGTGGTGAGTGTCCCGGACGCATTAAACAGGAATGCCCTCTTCTGGAGGAAGGCTTTGTATAAAGATGTCGAGTCCAACGTGTATTTCTGGTATTTGGGGGGCATTCTGTACTTTTGGCTTCGGCACAGGATGAAATATAAAGATATGAGCTCTCCTTTGGAAACCAGTGATTTTTGGTGGCCTTCGCCTGAAAAATAAAGCTTAGGAATTTGTTTAAACAAATTCTTTAAAAAAATAAAAGTGTTTGTGTGAGTTTTTGTGTTCATGTAGATCGGATATTTTTACTGTGATGCAAATCTATTCTTTCAAAACTGAGAATTCTGTCAGCATTTACTCTCCTTCATGCCGTTCCAACCCTATAAGGCTTTTAGTCTTCGGGACACAGATGAAGATATTATTAATATTCTCTCATGAATGCACATTTATAGAGCACTCAAATAGCTCAACCGGAACTTCATTGGTTCTTGTGGGAACTTGACGCAACATGATTGCGTGGCACATTAGATTACTTGAAATTGTGTTTACCATATTTGGGCCTGGTTTGACTGAGAGGGTTTACAGCAGTGTTGTAGTCGAGACCACCTCACTCGAGTCCGAGTCGACACCGAGACCAGAGAGAGTCAAGTCCGAGTCAAGACCGAGTCCATAGAGAGTCGAGTCCGAGTCGAGTCCGAGACCAGAGACGGTCGAGTCCGAGTCGAGACCGAGACCAGTGAGGATTGATTACCTAATTTACTTTTATTTACTTAGAGAAATCCTTTTTTTTTACTGAATTTACTTAGAGTTTAAAAAATATGATCAGTTTAGGGTAAAAAGGCCACATAGTAGGTGGTGTTAAAAGTAATTTTATTACAATTTGTCATGCGCAGTTGACCATTAGAAAATCACCAATCACTGGGCATGTCAATCAATTTAAAGAAATATTTTATTAACATACATTAATAATCATGAAAAATATTTTTAATTGAACTCGAGTGGACTCGGGAATAATTCCGAGTCCTAAAAAAAAAAATGTTCAAGTACGAGTCAATTCCGAGTCCAAATGGACACGAGTCCATGACAAGACCAAGACCATTAAAATATGGTCTCGAGACCGAGTCCGAGACGAGTCCGAGTCTCGAGTACTACAACACTGGTTTACAGATTATGCCAGGATTAGGCCTTTGTTAAATTGAGTCATTTAGGTAAAAATCAAGCTTTTAATGTTGTTGTTTCTATGTCTATGTGGTGTTTTTAATGTGCTTTAAGACAAACCATGTGCAAATTCAAAAGTCGAGTATTTTCTCTTTCAAACTACAGTGAACCAAAGACAGTCTCACAAAATCGCTGGTGTTTCTGACGTTGCGAACTACCTTGTAACCAATCAGATCAACGTGTGATCGTCAACCAGTGGATCTCTGAGCTGAGTGAGGGAGTGGAGGCGGGGCTCATCTGCATATTCATAAAACCGCGTATATTAAATGAGGCAAGGGTGTCGAGTTACATTCAAGATATTTTAAGGCATGAAGCCCTTTTTTGTTTTTCAAAAAAACATATAAATATGTCATTTTGGGATAACATTATTGACCACAAGGGATCTTTAAGTAGCTTTTATAATCATACCTTAGAAAAATAAAACATTACTGGTGTGCATCTTCAGACAAAACAATGCCACTGATATATTTTAAGATATGCCAGAACAAGTTGCCTTCAGTTAAAACAGCTCAAACATGAATTTTAGTCTAGCAATGGCCCCATACTTCTTAAAACTGTAAGGATCAGTTCCAGTTGTGTTTACACTTAAGCCTGGTACGGCACGGCACGATTACAAACTGTTCTCTGCCCGGAAAACACAAATTAATAATAGAATTAAAATAAATATCTGATCATCCACCATAACACGGTCACTATTTACCTCTCATATCGCCTGTAAACTCTTGTGTTACCAAGGCAAACAGCTCCAAACAGCCCCATTATCAGACCCTTAGTGGAAAACGAAAGCGTAACCGTAACTCTACCAGCTGGACCAGATCGTCACAGAATGGGATGAAAACAGTTCAGCCGACTGTGGAAAAGTTGGTGTGCTGTAAATATGTGTGTTGATCAATTTTTATATGCGAATAAAAGCTTACATTAAATCTGTTCATCATTTAAACGTTTGGATTAAACCGCAGATTCATATGGATTATTTTATGATGTCATTATGAACTTTTTGAAGCTTGAAAATTTTGGGTCGCTTGGACTTGATATCAAAAATGATGAGGGAATATATAAAAAATGTCTTTATTTATGCTGTCTTTATTTGACTTTATGCTGATGACCTGGTCATCATGTCACCATGTTTTGCAATTGCTTGATGTGTGTGCTGAATATGGTGAACGATGACATCAAGTTTAATCCAAAAAAGTCTGTTGTGATGATTATGAGGACTGGAGAGCAGCGTAATGCTGTATTCCCCATGTTCCACTTGTCAGGAAGGGATGTGGCAGTTGTGGAAAAAGTGAAGTACCTTGGTCACATTGTAAGGAGTGACCTTTCTGATAATGATGACATCCAGAGGCAATACTGTAAATTGTATGCACAGGCAAATATGCTGGCACGGAAATTTGAAATGTGTACAGAAATTGTAAAAAATAGCATTGTTTAAAGCCTACTGCACACCACTATATACTCCTCACCTGTGGTGTTGCTATACAAAAGCTGTTTTTCACAAGTTACAAGTAGCATATAATGATGCTCTAAGGATTCTTTTGAATGTACCTCGCTGGACCAGTGCAAGCCAGTTGTGTGTGCAAAATGATGTGACTACACTAAATGCTGTATTAAGAAATGCTGTTTATAAATTTATGATGAGACTTATGGACTCGCAAAATGAAATTATACTTGTTTTTATATGGCCTGGCCAGATAACGATGTATCTTAGCTCTTAAGAGCGCTCTCTACGTGCAAGGTTACGAACGCTCGCAGCAATAGAGTGAATGCGCGTGACATCACCGTCGGCCGGAGTGCCTGCAGGTTCTCACAGTGAGTGGCAAAAAGAGTGAGCGGCTGTATATGTGTTCAGCGTGAATGCCGCGAAAAACAAACACAACACGCACAAATAAAGTGGGAAAGAGCTTTGCGATTGACTGTAC